GACAATCGACTTCGCTTGCTTCCTTGGGTCTATAAATCCCGACCAGTGGCCTCGGCGGTTTCGTGAAAATGTGTGTTATCCAAATCTAAGAAGTCAGTGGTTGTTTTTTATCCGTTATTTTGCATAGTGCTCTAAAAACAACAAAAGCCCTCACCTGCATCGCGTCAACGGATTTATTCGAGGAGAGCACGAGGAGAAACCCGTTAGCGATTATCGATATTACTAAAAGTGCATAATTTTATATGGTTTTTAAAGGTAGATAATCATTTTACAAAAATCTTTTTAGCTTACCCGAGACGGCAGTCGTGTAGATTTGGAAGATGGAGAGCATTTTTCTAAGAAACAGTAAAAACGAGAGGGAAAAACAGAAATCATCAAATCGAATCAACGATTTTGTTTAATGGAAAAACAATGTTTTAACGATTTTTGAGATAATGCTCATATAACTAAAAACGCAAAGTTTTTGCCTTCAATGAAATGAGAACAGCAATAGTTTGTAAAAGATCAGTTTTTTAATTTCCGCTTGTCTTTAAATTCTTTTATACGTCGACTCTGCAGGGGATTGCCCTCGTAGAAAATACATTTGCTGCGCAACGGCGTGAAACATCCTACTATATATAAAAAAAAAGTGTTTGTGTGTGTGTGTGTGTGTATATTTGCATGCACTTCCGTTAGGATGTTCCGCACCTACCGGTTTAGGGAAGCATTTTTTCGGTGAGGCAGAAACGTCATCGGATAAAGAAGGGGCTGGAATCGACTGCACACACATAAAATCTTTGAAAAATTGCTATTTTCGCTATTAAAATTAGGTTTTTGTAAAAATATTGGCTTTTCTCTTTGTTAGGGAAAAATTAGCATAAGCCGGAAGTGGAAATCGCTGACAAGATTTATGCAAAGTTGCATAAATCCTAGACGGGGCCAGGGTTGAAAAGCCGCGAAGCGGTTTTTCAACCCTGGTCCTGATTTAAAAGCCTACACAATTTACTTTTCTTGCTATTTTTGACCATAAATAACATAAAACAATCTAAAACTAAGGGTGAAATATTTATTGCTTTAATGCAAGCTTTTTTTAGTTATAACATAGGTTTTTGTATGCAAAAATCAGGGCACAAGAATAAATGGCTGGGTCATCACTAAATTAGGGCGATATTTGCCATATATTTTTTTAACTCAGATGAAACACTTGTTTTGCTCAGCAATATTTCCTTTTGCTTTTCTATTTTTTTTATTTTTATTTATTATTTTTATAATACAATGCGAAATCACAACAAGATTGTAATTTTTTGAACCAGGGTCGATTTTACATTGTGCATCCTTGTACCGCCTTTACCATAACACTTAATGAAACATCTATTCTTCCGGGGTTTTTTATTTCTATTCTATTATAAACATAATATAAATAAATGCTTGGACTATACGAAATCGTGTGTAAATAATGTCTTTCAGTGGGCAGTGGCGAGTCGTACGGATTTTCCGATCCAGCGATATTAATGGCTGGGCCCCGGATTTCGGGCTTATCCATATGGATTTGATGATTTTGCTCCGGAATCCCCCGGTGGATCCGCTTGTCTGTCCCGCACGGAAAGTATCGTAGTCGAGAAGCAAAAATCCGAAAAATCTATTTCAAAGGGGCCAGCAAGCCGGAAACAATTTTTTCTGGACTTTCGAAGACAGCTGAAAGTTTTGATCATATTCGTTCCTTTTCGAGAATGTGGAGCTTTCCCATTATCAGGGGGTCATCGTTGTCAAGAGACAAATTTTTTTTACTTAGCATTAAATTATTTTAATATAAAGCGAGATAGTGTTTTTTAACTATTCCTAAACGTAAAATACAATATTTTTTTAAACAAAACAAAAATATCGATTTTCTAAGTTTACTTTCGTTAATTACTTAAATTCCTTTCATACTTGCAAAATATCGTTAAGTTCAAGACTATTAGAGTCAATTTACAAAAAACATGTTTCGAAAAAGCGTGAATTTTGAACACTCTTGAAAATACTGCTGAGATAAAGAAATTGGGGCGGTAAAACGCAAAAAAACATGTTTCGAAAAAATTACAAATTTCAAAACTTTGATTGGCGTTAGTTCCACTCTCCTTGCGGAAAATCTCGTAACTTTCTGGCGCCCATTAATTTGCATACCACCGTAATTACGGGGGTGAAAATGCCGTTGCTCGCAGAAAAGCCGTTTCCAGTTGGCTAATAGCTGCTCAGAAACACGTTCGGTTCGGTTCGGTTCAACGTAATACTAGCCCAAGTACCTGAATTGCATTGTTTTTGTAGACTCTCTGTTATAAACCAGCCAGCTAAAACGTAAACTTTAGGTTTTTGAGATTTACTTGACGGTTTCGACCGGTTTTTAAAAGTTTTCAACAGGCCAGAACTTTTTTTCGACGACGGTTTTCTAATATAATTACGGACTAGGGACATAGAACAGACTTCGCTCTATCTTTCGCACATATTTTTAGAATATCCTAGCGTAGAAATACAGCGAGCGGGTCATGGAAGAGGGCAAATGAACTTGCGATGTTTATTGGCCTATTCGGCCCGGAGAGAAGGTGCTGGCTGGTTTTTTTTGTTGTTTTATAGTGTTACGGCAACCTATTATGAACGGTTGGAGCAAAAAGCAAAAGAAAAGGCAGACGGCTCAGGCCCCGGGAACCGAACCCGCAACCCCTCTCTCGGCGCTGAACCGCCGCCTTAGACCACTACACCACGCCCCGCCCACCCCTCGTGCGCGCTCTGAAAGGCCGTGTGCGCAAAATTCGTTGCGCAAAATTCATGATCCCCGCAGCCCCGTTTCGAAAGTTCTCTCCGCTCACATTTCCCGGTTCGTAAATTTTTCGCCCGCAAGCGCGCCCCAATCGCGTTTTAGCGGCGTAGCACGGGTTGTTTTAATGCCTATATTATTTAAAAAAGGGCACTGTATCGCTTTTGACGATGCTGTACTCTATAATTAATGTAAATCTTCATTCTCACTGAGAACATGGTCGAACGGCGCACCTGAAACAAGTTTTTTTCTTTGTTTTCTTGGCTTTAGCTTCATTTAGAACTTACATATACGTTCGAATGCGCGATGGACGGCCCCTAAAATAGTAGCTAATTACCTAATTGCCTTTATATACTTCGTAAGCTGTAATTACTTCGTTTCCGCTTCCTGAAAACTTACTTTAATTCTTGCCGACTTACTCAAATACTTTGCTCAAAGATACTGATGCGGGTTTGGCTGCGTAGCAAAACTTTACCTTCGTTACCTCTACCATTGCGCTTCAAAGTATCGTATCGAGTACCCGCGGGCGCTCTACTAACCGAGTAGGGCGGCCGGCTGTCCGGCTGGCACTATTTGACGCGCTCTCTTTCCGTTTCTTGATTTTCCTTCCATCCTTCACGATTATATCGAGTTTTTCAGATACGAGAATGAATAACTCGGGATTGAACGCCTCGCATCATGTGCTTGCCGGTGCGAATGAGCAAACATTTCATGTAAGCTTTTATCGGCACAGTTTCTGCGTGCACGCTTCTCAGCAAGGTTTCTTTTTTAGGCGATGAGCCGCGTACTAACGAACCTCGTCGACACGCAGAACTGCATGGTCTCCAACTTTCAACAAGTCTCGTCCCAAATCGAGTCGCTGCGCGTGGAGGTGCGCACTTCAATCTCCGACTTGCGCGCGGACATTCAGCGCAGCCAGGACAAATACGTGGATGGCCTGAGCAAGTCGCATGAGAAAGAGGTAAATTTTTAGCGGAATTTTTGAAAAATATACAGACCCAGGACGGCTTGTTCATATCTACCTTTTCCAGGTGAATCGCTTGATGCGCCTGGTGGAGAACATGAACATTACCGGCCAGCATGATCAAAAGCTTCGCAGCGCCAGAACGTGAACGACTCGCTGCAAATCATGATGCTGCAACAAGCACTGCAACAGCAGCATCAACACATGGCTGCGTACCGCGTACCGCCATCAATGGTCGCCCCTCAGCCGCAGCACCCGGTGATCGCCGCAATGCTCCAGCAGCAACACCAAACCATCTCGCCAATGGCCCAGATGATGCCGATGACTCCTCAACCGGCCGTCGGCCAGGTATTCCACAAGTTTTTACGGATTTACTTGCTTTTTTTCAGTCACCTTCGACTGCTTCGCGCTCCTCGCCCGTCGTCACCGCGGCCGCTCCTGTGCTCCCGAAGCCAGCGCTTAGCTTTGGTAACCTATTTTGAAACGATTGTCAAAATTTTTTCTAGCCACTCCTCCGCTCACCGTCAAGCCAGCCACCTCGAAGCCCGCCGAAGCGGTTGTCACCACCACGCCCAACGTCGTCAAACCGGCTGAAGAGATAGTCATCCGGCGGAACGATCCCGCCGCTCAGCCTGCTGGTTTCGACTGGAAGGCGCCGACTGGCAGTTGGGACTGCGCCGGATGCTACTCGAACAATCCTGCAACGGCCGCCAAGTGCAACTGCTGCGGTACCGGCAAGGCTAGCCAAGCCAAGCTCTCATTTCCTGATGCGGCGAAGGCGGCTGCCAGCGACGCTCCGTCGCCTTCCGTCGGCTTCAGCTTTGGCAAACCTGCCACCCTTGCCGCTACCACTGTTGCACCCGCTCCCGGCACACCCACATTCTCCTTCAAGTCTACCGCCGCCCCACAGAAGACACTTTTCGGTGGTACGTTTCGCTCGATAGCTTTTTTACTGTGTGCCTCATTTAACGCCATTTTTAGGTAGTGCTTTCGGATCATCCTCGCCGGGCGGCTCAATCTTTGCCCCCGTGAACACCCCGACTACGACTGGCCCTTCTGCCGACACTACCTCCACCTCGCACGTCTTTGGCCAAGGCACTTCCCTCGGAGGCACTTCTGGCTTCTCGTTCAGCTCAGCTGCGCCCACGGTATTACTTTATTCCATTCGTCCAAATTTCTTAGGGCAACATATTCGAAGGCACGACTTCCGAAAGCGCCAAACAGAAGCTGAACGCTTTGGAGAAGGCCAATCCGCTCAACACCTCCATGGCTTCGTCCGGGCTCCATGACGAAGAGGGCGGCGAGGATGACGAGTACGAGGCCCAGGCCGACTTTCAGCCGATTGTCCCGCTGCCGGACTTGATAGAGGTACATCGCTTCTTGCTTTTTTAGGCTATTATGCTCAGGTTAAGACCGGCGAAGAGGGGGAGGAGGTCGTGTTCAAGGAGCGCTGCAAGCTGTATCGCTACGACAAGGAGGCCCGTGAGGCAAAGAAGCGAGGTGTTGGCGATATCAAGGTCTGTTTTAGTGTTTTTTAGTTCCGCTGCCATCCGCACGTGTTTTGTCGGCATTTTTCAAATGGCGATTTGAGGGAAATTGAAGTAATTTTCTGTTCAGATTCTCCGCAACTCAAATGGCCTCTACCGCTGCGTGATGAGGCGCGAGCAGGTCCACAAGCTGTGCACCAACTTCTTGATCCGTGCTGGGATGACGATCACCGAAAAGGACAACTCGGAGAAGGTTGCCCTCCTCAACTGTCGGGTAAGAATTTGTTTTTGACGTTTTTGAATTTTTTGCTTGTCCAGGACTTCTCGGAGGAGGCGGGCGGTCGTGAGGAGACGCTCTTCATCAAGTTCAAGTCGAGCGTCGAGCGCGACGCCTTCATCGCGACGTACCGAGAGGGCATCGCCTCCGACTCATAGAAGACTGAAAGAATTACTGCTCTCCACCCATCACCTTTTGATTAGTCATTGATGAATAAATTATACGGTGTTCACTATTTTGGCGTAAGGAATAAGCGCGTTATAAATTGGCGAGTTACGAATATTGGAAGACTGGTGGTTTTGACATTGAATTGCTATCGGAAAATGGTATAAAATAAATGAGGGAATGTAAGAGCTAATCGAAGCAAATTTTCAGCTCCGGCGTGCCGGATAACGGTCATTTCGTGGATTTTCGCCTGGCCGCCGGTTTTTGCTAAAATCGTTGATAACAAGAAGTTTAATTTCCAGTCAAGCGTTTTCTACTAAAATAAAATAATGTATTCGGCGAATGTAAAGTAAAAAAATGGAAAGTAGGTTCGAAATCACGATAATCGACTAGCGTGACATATGGTGTTCGACGAGGTAATGGAGAATGTGCCGCGGCAGTGTAGTTTTCTTGATCAAGAAAAGCCTTAGAACAACTATTGAGGCGTTCTAATAGTATTTTGCACAGAAAACAGGTTCAAATCACGAAAACCAGCGGCCAGGCGAAAATCCACGAAATGACCGTTATTCAGCACGCTAGGCTTGGAAATTTTCTTCGGTATGAATGAATGAATGAATTTTCTTGCATTTTATGATTTAAAACATTTTTTATAGTGCTTCATACAATTTTCGATAATTGTTGTTATCATTAGCTAGTTGATTTTCCCAAATAAGCGCTCCGAAAAGTAGTAATTTATCAAAAATAACATTCTAAATTTAGATTTTTAGTTAAAAAAAGGATTGGTAAGGAATTAGCAGGATTACCGGTAATTCCCGCGAACTTCAAATTAAGGCTCCGTCAACAATTAATTTTTTAACATGTCAGGAAGCACGATTTTTCGAACCTTTCCAAAGTCATATTTCAATGCACCCCTGGGGCAATGGCACTGGGATCGGCTGGTCGGTGAGGGGGGATAGAATCGAAAAGACACTCGCCCACCAACATGACAAATCCTGTCCCTAAAGAGATCGGCAAGGCAACCCTCTCACCCCCCATCCCCCAAACCGCTCATTTCTGCAGGGTGATAAGCCGCGTTTCTTTCTGATTTAAGCCCATCCTCCAAAGCCGGCTTTTTCCCCCAATTCGAGCTGCCAATTCTTCCGAATTTCGCGGAGATCCCTCAACAATCTCTGCTGGCCTGCCCTCTCCTCTTCCTCAACAATCTCTGCTAGCCTGCCCTCTCCTCTTCCTCAACAATCTCTGCTAGCCTGCCCTCTCCTCTTCCTCAACAATCTCTGCTAGCCTGCCCTCTCCTCTTCCTCAACAATCTCTGCTAGCCTGCCCTCTCCTCCTCCTCAACAATCTCTGCTGGCCTGCCCTCTCCTCTTCCTCAACAATCTCTGCTACCCTGCCCTCTCCGCTTCCTCAACAATCTCTGCTAGCCTGCCCTCTCCTCTTCCCTCAACACCCTGCTAGCCTGCTCTCTCTCCTCTCCTCAACAATCTCTAGCTCTGCCCTCTCCTCCTCTCAACAATCTCTGCTAGCCTGCCCTCTCCTCTTCCCTCTCCCAACAATCCCTGCTAGCCTGGTCCTCTCCTCCTCCTCTCAACAATCTCTGCTAGCCTGCCCTCTCCTCTTCCTCAACAATCTCTGCTAGCCTGCGTTTGTTTTTAGCTTTCTTCGCTTGAACCACCCGCCGTCGAATATGTCGAGGAAAACGACGCTAAATCTTAAAATTTTCGAAACACTTTTCCGCAAGGTTTTAAATTTTTCAGGTTTCTACTTTTTTTCTTTAATCTTAATGACTTCCAGTATTCGATTCCCGGTCTGCCCCTGTTCCATACAGCTTTTCTTTTGTCGTTTTCTTCCCTCCAAATATCTGATGCCCTACTTTTTCAGCTCCCCCTAATTTCCCTCCTCCCTTTCCCTCGGTTTCTGTTGAAATCGCGTGATTTTAGGCCTCGAGAACACGAGCTGACACGAGCTGTAGAAAACTATAAAATTATAATACCCGGTTCCTTAAAGATTCGGTTTTAGTTTTTCACCGAACCAAAAGTGAGCTATTAATTACCGCGAGAGGGTTTCTCTGCCATGGCAGGTTGAAACATATTTTTTATTGCAAATTTGGCCACCCATGTGATGTATATTTATTCTTTTAAAATTTTTGCGTTCCGTCGAGCGTCATATTTCTATTTTTATGAAGAAAAAGATTAATTTATGAGGTTCTTAAATATTCTGTCCTAACGGAATCCTGATTTTTTTAATTCATGATTTATTTTTGTTTTTTTTTTATTTTTTTGGCGCGATGATATTTGTTTTCTTAGTATTGTTCCGTTCTTAAAGATCTTTATTTTCCACAATAAACCTGAACTTTACGTGGTATTACTATGATTGTAATCAGCTTGAGTTTTAATAATTTTTAGATGTTTCGCCGTCTCGGCACCCACCAAACCGCCTACAGGTGCGAATCCCCTTCACAGGTGATCTCGTTTTTATTAACCTTCTATGCATTAGCTTAAATATGATATAACTTTAGAACGGATATAAATCGGATACTTTATTTAATGGTTCAAATCTAGAGCCTGAGCTCCTTGCAGTCGGACTGCTCGATCCCGATCAGTGGTACGGATCCGGATCCGGATTTTGGCGAGGACATCCGAGAGCAGGTTGGGCAAACCTGACTTTATAGCCTTAAAAATTTGTAAAAATATAATTATAGCTTTAAACAATGAATATAAAAATTAATGATAATAAATATCGGTTTTAAAAGGTTATTCTCATAGAAAAAATGTTTCAAAAAAATTGGTTTGTAAAATATCGAGAAGGCTTTAATGCATCCGGAACCGCATTTTTAACCTACGCTTTCAGAAAATATTAGAAAGAAAATAAGGAAATTAGGAACATCGTTGATCTCGATTTTTCTAATAGCATAATTTTTTAAAACATCCAAATTTTTGCGCGCATTGATCTAAATCTATAAAATAGATTTTTTAACATATAAATGTTCTTTTTATTCATTTCGAAGCTACCGTAAGATGGCCTTGTTTCAATCTAATTACTAAATTTTTAGTTAACCCCGGTCCCGCCGGATTTCCTCCCCGAGGAGCGCATCGTCGAAAAACGCGAGCTGCTGGCCAGCCTGCAAAATGTCGCCAAAAAGGTATCGGTTTCAGAAATACTTTGATTTTCTGTAGCTAAACACCATCGTGGCGCTGATCAACGACTTCTCGCTGGACGCGCTGAAGATGAGGGAAAAAGCCGAGGATTTGCTGGAGGAGTTGAATGTGGGTTCTCTTTCTCTCTCTCGCTCTCTCTCTATCTCTCCCCTCTCTCTCTCGCTCTCTCGCTCCCTCTCTCACCAGCTCTCTCTCTCTCTCCACTCTCCTAAAAGCTAGGATTTTTAGTCCCGTATCCGCCCGTCTTTAATCGCCCTCGACCTGGAGATGATCACCACGGAACGCTTGTTGAAGTTGGTTTCTTCATTAAATACAATAAATTTTAATTTTAAGCACCCTTCATTATTGAATTCAGATACAACGTCGACCGGGCCAACATCAAAGAGCACCGCATCGACTGGCTGCTCGTTTTTAATCGATATCAGGTAATTCGGTAGCCTTGAAGCGTAAATTAAAGCAAAATCGTTAGTTCATGATTTAGTATATTTTTGAAACATTAACTTTTTGGACGATTCTTGAGTTTCGTTATTGTCCTCACTACATTCAAGCATTAAATGAAATTTAATTTTGATACCTGTTAAATTTTAATACAAATAAATAATAAATAATGTTAGCTTTTTTATCTATTTTACTAAAATTGTATTATGTAATCGATATTCGTTCGTGCCTAACCAAAATCGGAATTAAGCAAAATTGGCGGTTTTGGATTTTGCATAATTTTGAAACATTGAATTTTCGCAATTTTTTCCGGCGATGTCTCTCAGTACAGGTATCTATACCGATTTGTAAAGTCAATGTTACAAAAAACGTTGATCTGTTTTTAAATAATTCAGACAATAATAAGACGACGACCTAGTTGCAAATTAAAACAATAAATTAGTTACTGTTTTCAACTATTAGATATTCGGTAAAACTATGTAGGTTAATGCTGGGACTTATAGATTAAAAAACCTTCAGCAAGTTCTCATTTTTCAGAAAGAAATGCGCCGCGTGCTGGACGAGTTGAGCGGCGAGGTGTACGACGAGCTGGAGAACAGCTTAGCGTTGCGTTTTCGGGGTAATTTTTTTACAAAATAAATGCGCAAGCTTATGTTTAAAGGGCTTTTGTTTATTTATAGCTTAAAAAAGCGCCTCGAAATCACTAAAAATTAAAAAAAATGATGTTTCAGCCAGAAAGAAAATCTTCTTTAGCCTAATTATCGCAATCCAGTCCAATTTCCTTTTTCGAACTTTGATTTAACGCGTTTAAACTCATATTTATTTAACACATAGTCGTATTAACTTATTATATTGATTATATATATTATATTCATTATAATTAATGGTCTATTAATCATTAATGATTAATTAAACGCAAATTCAATTGGTTTATAGAATAAATCCTATAAAATAGCTAAACAATTAAAAACTTAATTAAATTAAACTAATCAATTTCTAGCTACTCAACTTCTATTTACTCTCCATAATTTTGATATTACAAAAATTGATAATCAGGGAAAGTTTCACTATTTGCCAAATAACGGATTGAATGAGTTGCGTCAGTTATAAAAAAAACTTCATATTTTAAAGTTGTTAATTTTAATTAAATATATTCGGTTAGTAAATTTTCATTGAACTTTTTGAATCTAATTAAATAGCTTAAATAGTTCAAATTTTAAATATTTAATTTAATTCAATTTCCGGGTGATTTCAGGGGTGATCGGCCGCCGACCGGCCCCCGATACGATGGACAATCTGAACGAAATGCAGTCGGGGATGAGCCGCGCGCTGCAGCTGCTTGCCGCGGAAGCCTAAAAAATTTGCATGCGATATTCGATAAATTTCCGGTAATTTAAATAGTACTTTAGAAGGCGAGTCTTGTCGGAACTTGGAGGTAAAAAGGCTGAGGGATTGACATGGCAAAGGAATCTTTCATATCAAGGTGGATTGAAACATATTTTTCAAAAGACCGGATATTGTTTAGTCGTAGGCTTAGGCTTGGCTTAGGCTTAGGATATGGCTTAGGATTGACTTAGGCTTGACTTCGCTTAGTAGGCACCTGCTTACGCTTGACTTGGCGAATACTTGGCTGAGGCGTAGGCTTAGGCATAGGTTATCCTTAGGCCTAGGCGTCTTAGGCTTAGGCTTGGGCTTAGGCTTGGGCTTAGGCTTAAGCTTGGCTTCGGATTAGCCTTATGCTAGGCTTGTCTTAGGCTTCCTTTCTCCGTTGTATACAACAAAACGTTTTATTCCGAGGAAAACGCTGTGGAAAACCGGGGAGTGGAGACGAGAGGCTGAGGGGCGAGAGAACACGAAAACGGAGAGGGACTAGAGAAGAGAGATATAGGGAGTGCGTGTGCGTGCCGTTAAAAATTCCGAGTGACACCAAATGACAGCCATCATGGGTACTGTACAAAATACAGCTAAATAATATGATCGAGACAATGCCGAGTGCCGTGGCCGGGGGTTGAGCTTGAATTTTAAAACATTTCAATTTCGTCCAAATAATTGAATTTTTATTTTTCCATTTTAAGCGTGAAATCGCTTGCCGCGCAGCCCCTTGGCGCCAAAACCGCGCAAGTAGGCGCGCTTCCCGCGGAGACCTGAAATTAAAGTGAATTGAAAGTAGGCATTGTATACATTTAAACTAAATTTTACATATGTGATTGAATGTGATTGATTGCTGTGAAATCTGGTATTTAATGAGCTAAAACATTTATTTGTTAAATATTTCAATAGTTTTATCACCAATTGATTTTATATGAAATATCTTGTCTCCAACTAAATTCAATAATTTATTTTTAACCATGAAAATAAATTTATAGCTGAATCCAATAAGCTTACTCATTTGAGTTTGTGATTGGAGAATTCGTTTTTGATACAAAAATAGATGCCTTAATACGCTATCCTTGTCCTTCGAAAAATTACAAGCAGGAAAAAACGTTTCACTAAAATGCGTACCAGTGGGCAGCGCTGATAACCTAATGGTCTTTTTTCGGTTAGAAAGCGAAAAATTATGCTACAAATGCTGAATTTATGCTAAATAGAAAGCTGAAAATTATGCTGTTATTATTCAATTATAGCCTAGTCTATGATACATTCCACAGCGGAAATAGATCGTTAATTAGATGCTTCATTAAAAGAACGAAGCCGTGAAAAATGGTTGTTGCAATAAATTGCCTAGTGGTGACAGTCAGCCAAAGTACTATAAGGAGTTTGGTACGGCATCTATTTAAATTGGAAATTTTACGTTTCAATAGAATTTCTATAATAAGATTAAAATCTGTAAAAATAAGCATCCAATTACAGGTTCGAGAAAATTAGCTATATCACACAATTTTTGGTATATTCCGTTCAATACAACATACTTTTTTAAAAGGAAGGTTTCGACTAAAAGGTCGAGCGGAGGGAGGGAGAAAACGAGAGAGAGAGAGAGCGAGAGAGAGAGAGAGAGAGAGAGAGAGCGTGTGAGAGAGGGATAACCTCTCGAATCCAAACTGCCGTACCTCGGAGACCGCCGAAGCCGCGTGGGCTGTCACCAAAGTAGAAGTCCCGCTTGTCCTTGATCATCTCGCCCAGGCCGAACTAAAAAGTTACGAGAATTATTTTATTATTTTTGTTTCAAATAAATTCCACTTTAAATAAAATGTGTATTTTCCAAGAGAATCAGATAACTGATTTTCTAAATTTAATAATTTCGAAAATCTTATTTAAAAAAACGCGTTTTAATTACAAAAGTTATCCAGAAATTCTTTTGGAGATGATTCTTGCCAACGAATGAAATGGAAAACGATCCACAAAAAATCGCCGTACGTGTCTTGCCACTTTAAATGAACTTTTACACTATTTATTTACACTCATTTAACTTTAAATGGGTTATCTCATTTTATATTGACTCTTCAACGCTTTTTATAGGCGATTTTCATGCAAAGGCCCCCCTGGGAAACGCGGCAAATTAGCTTAGAGGGACCACGACATCGGCTGGGTGCCTAAAATGGAATGGCCACCCGAATTGGGTTAAATTTGAATTGGGTTAATTGGGTTTTAATCCAATTTTCCAGTTTGCATCATCGCCCGTTTGTACTATCTATTTTAGCCGTAGCCGTTCACTACTTGAAAAGACGGCAAAATGACGTTATGAGGAAAAAATGTGTTTCGATTTTTTTATACTGAATGGCCGAAATTTCTCGGTTAATAGAATCACACGATAAACTATCTATGATATTCTCTCCTTTCTAGCTCTCTCATTATTTCTCTCTCTCGCTCTCTCTCTCTCTCTCTCTCTCTCTCTCTCTCTCTAACGCTCTCTCTTATGCTAACGAAATTCATTCAAACCCCTTTAGGTTTTCAAGTCCGAACTACACTCTTCGATTCTCAAAAAAAATATGTTTTAGCGAATCACCATTCTCTGCGTTTCTTGGAGCTTTTAATTAGCGGGTTTTTTTATTCTTGGAGAAGATTAAGTGAATCTAAGGAGATAAATAAAATAAAATAAATATATATAAAACATGTAATGATGTGTGATGTAAAAAAATAAATATGTTTGTAATACATATCATTTCCATAACAGTAAAAGTTTTTCAAAAAAACTGGATGAGCAACACCTCCTTTGAAAATAAATGTTTCAAGTTATCTTTGTGCCAGGTGTCAATCCATTTTTTTCACTTTCTGCTCCAATGCATATTTACAATTTTTATATATTTGCAATAATTTGCCAGTTTTCGGTTTTCCTCGTTTTTTCCTGTTTTCGAAATTAACATCCGGGGGGTGGGTTGGCTCGTAAAAATTCGGAACGCGCCTAGGCTTAAAGAAATTTGGGGGATTAGGCGCTGGGCGTTTTTCTAATTGGAATTCCTGCCATTTTCGCAGCTTCTGCAGAGTGATTCCGCATCAAAGAACGTTAGAAAAAAATCAAAAAACTAGTCGAAAATTTGTGTTTCAAGTAAAATAAAAAAGTGGTGCGCAAAGTTTTTCGCGCTGACGCATCCAATCTTGCCTTTACAATTGGCACTAAAAGTTTTTAAATTTTGAGGAGGTAGGTAATTAAATAATCCTTTTATTTAAAATGTTAATATGACGAGTTAGACAAATCGCAAAGCTATGTTTTTAAAAAATCTTTATCAAAAAAATTTTTGTGGGGATAATTTCTGTTTTGATGACTACGGCAAATCTTTGAATTTAAATCGAAATTTCGTAACGAATTATTGGGTTGTTCCTGCGCTTTCGTCAAGATTTTGCAAAAAAGTGTGTTTTGCAAATTATACAACAAGAAAAAAATCCCCTAGCCGGTTAGTTCCTCTTCGGTTTCGAGGTTTTGGCAAAACTCCAAAACCCACTTAATTTCTCGGCGAATAATTCTATTAAAATATTCCCGCATCATTATTCCGGTCCAATACACAATGACGCCGCTGCGAGACACGGGATGGGACCCTCTTATGAATGACGATTTGCATAAAAGTAATACGGAGTTGTTCTCTGGAAACGGCTTTAAATGGGACGCGTAAGGGAAGACTATGGATTTTTTCACTAACCCCCCCCATGATTTTTTCCGTACCGCGGCACACAGGCGGTACGCTTCCGTCGCGTAATCGGTTACTGTAAGGTACCGACTTGAAAACCAAACCGAACCTTTTCAACATATATTATTTAAAAAAGTTATGTGGAAACCATCCGTTTTCACAAAAAAATTTCAATTTTTTGGCTTCGAAGGCATCGTTTTGGCTTAAGCCTAAGCCAGAGCCTAAAGAGAGAAGAGAAAAGAGAGCCTAGAGCCCCCTTGAGGCAGCTACGAAGACGAGCTCAGAATCTAGAGATCGAGCTCAATAACGTTAAGTTACTTTCCAAATGTCGAACATCATGCCGTTAAAATTTTAGATGGATTTCGACCTTAATCCATTGCGTTGATTTATTTTCGTTGCCTAATGCGTACCCAAAATCGTGTTTAAAACCCTTAAACCCGTCAAATTCTACTGACCCTTAAAAATTTTAAAATCTGAGGTTTCAAATTAAAAACATAGTTGTCTGGTGCCTGCCCAAGCCAATCATGGTTCGGAAGATAATGGTCAAAGAGACCCTGGTAATTTGAATCCAATAAAAATAAGATTAAAATATTGTATTACGTTCCAGTGCATGAAAAAGTATGTATACCTTAAAATTAATCTAACATTTGTTAATTTATCGTCCCGCAAATTTTTTAGTTTTTTTTTTTCAATTTTTCCATGTCGAAAGAACCCAGAAACTCTGACAAACTCCGCCGAAAATTATTCATTCAAATTGCCAGGGCTACAAAGAGGTGGGGAGGCTTTTACGCGACGCTCCTCCTCCCGACACAGCCACATTACGGCATTATAAATTATGGAAATTTGGTATGCTTCGATGGGTTGCTCCCCCTCGGTTTTTCATCGGCCCTCTTTGTCGTCTAGAGTAACGGAGCGGAATTACGAATTTTTTAGAAACCACGAAATTTTTGGAATTACAGTACCCCGGCAGGAAATTGCGGCAAATTTAATTTATTCTTATTTTTAAATGAAAAGGTGTGAATTATATGCCTGGAATTCCATAGTACAGCAATAAAGACAATGGGGATAATTTTGATACCTTAAAAATCGGACCTTATGCGTTATCGGGGGGTCGGCTAATTTTCTAGGGGAAAGCTATCCAAGGTTCTGAATTGTTTTTGATTTGAAATGATTGTCGAGTCATCTCTGCTTTTTTGTATTTCGTAACTCGTCAATTTTTTTAAATAACAAAACAGTTAAAAAATCATCTAATTCTGCAATCAACTTTAGAAAAACAATGTTTCGGCTCGGGTGAAGGCTAACATTTAATGGCCAGAGCTAATGTTCCGGGACGAATGTTGTCAAATTCAATTTAAGAATTTTAAATTTTAATACTTTAATTTAAATTTGAAATCGTTCAATAAATAAAACACGCAAATTCCGCGACGCACCTCATTCCGGAGGGGGTACTGTGCGAAGGCGGACAGCAACATCGAGAAGAGCAGGAAAAGGCACAGCACGCCGGTCCGAGAGGCGCCCATCTGAATTTACAGAAATTTAAATAAAATCAAAAATTTTTTGTTTAAATTATTATTTTGCAGTGAATTTTACGCTAGGCTTCTAGAAATTTATGTATTTCCAGAAAGATTAAATTCCTAGGGGCAGTATAAAATCGAAAAATGGCGCCGGAATTTTTAAACTCGAAGGATATTAGCCATATGGCTATAATTCTAATTATTTAAATATTTAAAAAAGTAATTATTTATATCAAAACTATGTTGTCAGTTCAAAATAACCAGCCAACGTGAAAGTAAAAATTTTTGGCTTTTTAGCAATTTTTGAAACATATGTTTATTTCATAAACCGCAAAAGCCAACTAATTATTATTTATCGATATAATCTATGTATTAAAAATGTATTATTTTTATATAAAGTATAAAAATGTATATATTAAAATAATATTTAAAATCTAAACAATTAAAATTCTGTTTCAATTCAAATTTAAATAAGGGAAGGTTTTTTCCTGATTTCCAATGTGTTTTCCTGATTCCGGCTACGAGTACACTACCCGTAGAAAAAAAATCCCGCGAAAAAATATTCCACAAATTATTGATGCCGTGGGCGGGTATTGTTACAGCCGCCTTGAAAATGCTTCTAGAAAAGATGAGGAACGGGGGCAGCAAAAAAATTAATCAAATTCCCAACCCACCCGCCCGACCCGATAGCGAAGACAAGGAAGCGAAAAAAGCGTTAAGAAATGTCAATCCAAACATTGGATAAATTAATCAGAAAGCGATTTCCCAGAATTCGGTCCAATTTTTTATAAAAAATTTTATGTCTAGTTGAAACATATGATCTAGCTGTTAAAAATTGGAAAATTTGCAAAAAATGTTTCAAATTTTATAAATTCCAGATTTTCGTTTCCTATTTGTTAAGTAACTATATTTTCAAACACATCGAAAAAACATTCTGTTACAAATTTTTAAATTTAAAAAACCCTAAAATCTCAATTCAAAAACAGGATAAATTCATAAGATAGAGAATCATCACGACTGGAGTTCAAATTCTTAGAAAAAAGTTGAGCCGCGCTAAAACCTATTTTTTTTATCCGGCATTCGCAAATTTGTGAATAATGTTTCAAAATTTTACAAAAGGCCATATTTTCGTTTCCTATTTATTACGTATGAGTGCTGTAGTTTCCGAAAACATCTAAAAACTTCTTTTTAAGATTTAAAAATAATATTATACCTATCAAAAATTCATGACCCTTAAATTGCGCTCAATCTTCTTAATTGAGTTATTAAGTTGAATTGAAACTTCTTTTTTAAATCGCTAGCTAAATTTGTGAGAAATGTTTCAAAATTTTATAAAATGTTGATTTTTGTTCCCGATTTATTAAGTATGAATCCTAGATATCCTATTTTCAAAACTTCAAATTTAATATTTTAAGGGAAAGCCGGGAGGGACATGAAATGCCCATCCAAAACTGGATAACTTAAGCCAATAGAAGATTTTCATCGAATTGAATTAAATTTTTGAAAGTTGTTGATTGGGTTTAATCGAAACCTATTTTTTCTAACGTAACCTTGAATTTGCAAGGAATGTTTCAAAAAATTTTACCAAAATCAGGATTTTTGTCTGAAGTTTGTCATGAAGCTTTATTTCCGAAAACATTTAAAGAACCCTTTTTTCAAAATTTTGCAAAATTCGAGATATTTAGTTCTAAGCATTACAGGGTTATCTTCTGGTTTTGTCAATTCGAAAACACTTTTCCCAACAATCTCTGCTAGCCTGCCCTCTCCTCTTCCTCAACAATCTCTGCTAGCCTGCCCTCTCCTCTTCCTCAACAATCTCTACTAGCCTGCCCTCTCCTCTTCCTCAACAATCTCTGCTAGCCTGCCCTCTCCTCTTCCTCAACAATCTCTGCTAGCCTGCCCTCTCCTCTTCCTCAACAATCTCTGCTAGCCTGCCCTCTCCCCTTCCTCAACAATCTCTGCTAGCCTGCCCTCTCCTCTTCCTCAACAATCTCTGCTAGCCTGCCCTCTCCTCTTCCTCAACAATCTCTGCTAGCCTGCCCTCTCCTCTTCCTCAACAATCTCTGCTAGCCTGCCCTCTCCTCTTCCTCAACAATCTCTGCTAGCCTGCCCTCCCCTCTTCCTCAACAATCTCTGCTAGCCTGCCCTCTCCTCTTCCTCAACAACTCTGCTAGCCTACCCCTCTCCTCTTCCTCAACAACTCTTAGCCTGTCCTCTCCTCTTCCTCAACAATCCCTGCTAGCCTGCCCCTCCTCTCTCCTCAACAATCTCAGCTAGCCTGCCCTCTCCTCTTCCTCAACAATCTCTGCTAGCCTGCCCTCTCCTCTTCCTCAACAATCTCTGCTAGCCTGTCCTCTCCTCTTCCTCAACAATCTCTGCTAGCCTGCCCTCTCCTCTTCCTCAACAATCTCTGCTAGCCTGCCCTCTCCTCTTCCTCAACAATCTCTGCTAGCCTGCCCTCTCCTCTTCCTCAACAATCTCTACTAGCCTGCCCTCTCCTCTTCCTCAACAATCTCTGCTAGCCTGCCCTCTCCTCTTCCCAAACAATCTCTGCTAGCCTGCCCTCTCCCTCTTCCTCAACAATCTCTGCTAGCCTGTCCTCTCCTCTTCCTCAACAATCTCTGCTAGCCTGCCCTCTCCTCTTCCTCAACAATCTCTGCTAGCCTGCCCTCTCCCTCTTCCTCAACAATCTCTGCTAGCCTGCCCTCTCTCTCTTCCTCAACAATCTCTGCTAGCCTGCCCTCTCCTCTTCCTCAACAATCTCTGCTAGCCTGTCCTCTCCTCTCTCCCTCAACAATCTCTGCTAGCCTGCCCTCTCCTCTTCCTCAACAATCTCTGCTAGCCTGCCCTCTCCTCTTCCTCAACAATCTCTGCTAGCCTGCCCCCTCCTCTTCCTCAACAATCTCTGCTAGCCTGCCCTCTCCCTCTTCCTCAACAATCTCTGCTAGCCTGCCCTCTCCTCTTCCTCAACAATCTCTGCTAGCCTGCCCTCTCCCTCTTCCTCAACAATCTCTGCTAGCCTGCCCTCTCCTCTTCCTCAACAATCTCTGCTAGCCTGCCCTCTCCTCTTCCTCAACAATCTCTGCTAGCCTGCCCTCTCCTCTTCCTCAACAATCTCTGCTAGCCTGCCCTCTCCTCTTCCTCAACAATCTCTGCTAGCCTGCCCTTTCCTCTTCCTCAACAATCTCTGCTAGCCTGTCCTCTCCTCTTCCTCAACAATCTCTGCTAGCCTGCCCTCTCCTCTTCCTCAACAATCTCTGCTAGCCTGCCCTCTCCTCTTCCTCAACAATCTCTGCTAGCCTGCCCTCTCCTCTTCCTCAACAATCTCTGCTAGCCTGCCCTCTCCTCTTCCTCAACAATCTCTGCTAGCCTGCCCTCTCCTCTTCCTCAACAATCTCTGCTAGCCTGCCCTCTCCTCTTCCTCAACAATATCTGCTACCTGCCTTTCTTAAAGAATCTCTGCAACAGCTACCGTAATCCAATAAAATATCTAACCTTATATTGTTGGGGTAGACGTGTCCGCCTGGGCTCGTCGAGAATGGCCGGCTCCGAAAATTCGGCCTCGATCCGAACCCTCGGGCCACGCCCCCTTGGATGCGAGGGAAGAGAGGAAGAAACAAGGGTTCGTGCTAATGCATAGCTTAAAGGAATAGGTGAAACACATTTTTCCTTTGCTTTTCACGAATTAAAGGGGCGTTGAAGTCTAGAGCCTAGTCTGGTCATTGAGCTTTTCGGGGCTGACTAGGCCTGGGCTCAGGCTTAAGCTTAGGCTTAGGCTTAGGCTTAGGCTTCGGCTTTATTTTTGAACTCCTAATGTGAGCAAACTATCTTTTGCTATTTGCACAGAAAACTTTAGTATTTTGATACATCAAAGTTTTCGAGAGCCTGGTTTTTCGCGTTTCAAATTGTTCTGGTGTTCCTAATATTCGAATATAATAATCTTTGTGATTTTTAGTAATTTTTACAGTTTCAAGAAGATTACGAAGCAGCCGGAAAATTACGAAATGTTATTCAGTGCCAAACAAAAACAATTTTTCAACCAGGAATACAATTCCTTCAAAAATTTTGCAGTTTTTGTACACAGAAGTCCTTGGAAATACCTTTTAAGAACAAAACAGCGATTAATAGAAAAACCTAGGCTTGAATAAGAACGGTTCTTGAGCTTAAATGTACAAATCTGCCCAAGAGCTCGAACGCCTTAACTCGAGCAAATTTCTAAGTTGCATGAACTAAGTTATTATTTTTTTCAGCGACCTTGATTTTCAGCGCAACATTATATTTTGCCACAAGCGATCTGGGAGTTTTTTTTTTAAGAATCGGCTGTTTTATTTATAATTCGGCTATAATTATATAATATATAAATAATTATATAATTCGAGGATCATTGAGATTTTGCTGCCCGGATATTCATGAATAAATGAAACACCTATTGCGAAAAACACACCACCTCGGTGTTTTCGTAGTTTTAGTTACAACTTGCCGAGGCGTGTTAGTTTCGTGTTTTCGTAGTTACACGTAAAATAAAATTTTTCGAAAAAGTTTTTGTTTGTTCGCTAAACCTTTCATATGGCATCAAGAATGACATTTGACACATTTAGACAAGGTTCTGGACTTCAGCAAAAAAAAGTTGTCAAAAAGCAAAATGAGAAAATCGTGAGAGAATCCGCACCCTTGCCACTATCCTATCAAGCTAGTTGCTTACCACTCGGCCATTCAACTGATGGTACCATAGTCCTAGTCATAGTACCCTAATAAGGCTCGCATGCAAATCATCATTTTCCGGAAGTGCTGTATCTCTGCCCACAGGCCTCCGTAGCAAAATCGGACAGCGGCATCGTGTTCTCCGTAGTCGATTACACGGGGGTAGCCGCGAGCGTGCCCTTCCCTCGTTAGCAATCAAAAAAACTACTAAAGGCACGATATAATTCCGTATTAAGCATAGGCCGAACATAGAAATTGTTCCCCCCGCTAACAGACGAGCGCCAAAATACGAATGTTTCAAGTAAAATACGCATTGAATTTGTCTTATAGGTAGACTTTTGAAAGCAAAGTTGATGTCATTAAACATCGCCATTTCCCAAACGTCCCATCCTATTTTGAAACTTTAAGTTTTATCCGGATTCACTGCCCAACCGGAAACGGCGGGGGTGCTGTGGATTTTCTTGGGCGGCTGATTGGGGCCATTCTCTGCCCGGCTTTTCCCTTCCTCCCTTCCTTCCGCTTCAAACAACCAACCCAACTTGGTGGCCCTCAGCTTCTAAGGCTTGTCATCTTTTCAAAAAAATTCTCGAAATCTCAAAAAAAGAACTCGGATCGCTTTTCGAAAATTTTGCTGGATTCGAAAGTCGAGGGACGAATTTCGAATTTTTAGGCAGCTTCAGAAAGACTTTGACGCCATTGCGATTGTATAAGATCAAAAATTCGGGTTTATCAATCATTGCTGAAACATTAAAATTAATCCAAAAAATTAAGCGCTGTAAAATTAGGTGTTTGGAACCCTGAAATATAGGTCCATAGTTCAATTTATAATTAGCCGATATTCTAAAACAAAGCCTAGATAAATAAAAGCAATGGAAAAAAGGAATTATTGGTTCGAAATTAACGTATCGATCAGCCATTAGTGAAACATCTCAATCGACTCAAAAAAATCAAAATTCAAACCCCAAAATGAAATGCTTCTAATTGCGCAGAGCTCACGGTTGCCTTTGTAACACCTAATACGGTATGCTGGTTGCATGTTCCGGAAAAATTCTCAAAACCTTCGTTGCCAGCGGAATCTATTTTTCGCAGTTTTTTGCCTTTTTACCAGGCTGCCTAGCTGTCTATACCTAGTCAATCCCTGGAGTTTATTCTGGCACTTCCTAGTTCCTTTAAATGTTTCTAGCCAGAATTTTTTTTTCCTAATATGTGTTTCAAGGCCTCCCGGTTTCAGACCTTCGCGGAGTGAGTTCATGCGTGGACATAGCGAGATTACGGAGATTACATACCGTTTAGATTTTCTCTGGCTATCTCCGGCGGATCACGTGAAATTGATAGAGACGTCCTGGGCTTAGATTAGGCTTAGGCTTTGGCTTAGGCTTAGGCTTAGGGTAGAATTAAGCTTAGGTTTAGGCTTAGGCTTAGGCTTCGACTCAGGCTTGGGCTTAGTTTAGGCTTAGGCTTGGGCTCAGGCTTAGGCTTAGGCCAAGGCTTAGGCTTAGAGTAGACTTGAGCTTAGGCTTAGGCCTAGGCTTAGGTTTCGGTTATGCTTCGCCTTAGGCTTAGGCAGAGGCTTAGGCCTATGTTTAGGTTAGGTTTATTAGGCTTAGGCTTTGGCATAGCCCTGCAAAGTCGCCCTGCTTTTTGGGCTATTTTAAGCACCCCGCGCATGTTTGCGCCGCCATTCTAAAATGTGCCCTTTCACCGTATCCGCCCAAAAATCCAATGGGGCACAAAGAAAGGCAGAGGGCAGCAGGAGGCAAATTGCCGGTGTTGCGAGTGGAAGGAACGGCAAAAGTTATTGAAATTGGCTGCGTGAAAAGGGCGTTCATCCGAAGCGAGAGGAAAATTGTGGTGAAAATCCGTGTTTCGTCCAGAGTTAGAAGTGCGGGGTCGAACCTTGGGGATTATATCTTGTCGATTCCGTACAGTTCCGATAAATTTAACCGTTGCAAAAATAATTAAAAAATCATGATTTCTCGAGAAGCGTGATGATTTGAAACAGGTAATCAACAGGTAGATCTTTTTCTTTTCTTTTTTTTATCCCCTTTTATCATTATTGGGTACAAATTTTTTTTTATTAAATATTCATTTTTATATTAACTACTCTATTTAATAAAAACTTCCGCTTTTATTTCTATTTTACTAATTTTTATTTTTTTTTTTCAACTTTATTAAGTTTATACACGTATCATTCGGGGCGGGGTGGAGCAAATTCGGGGCAGATTTGAGAATTAGATTATCAATATTAAGACTATATTAAAATGCTGGAAATCAAATTCATGTTACGACTTTCGATACAGGCAAAACAGCTGGCATTCATCGTAGGTCAGGGTGTAGGGTGGGAGGAATTTATTTTCGCGGCATTCACGGATGGTATATGGCCGGCAGACGCCCTCTTCTAGGGCCCATCTAAAATAATATGTGTTAAATTAAACTAACTATCATATGAAAATAATAAAAAGAATAAAATTAGAAATTGAATTAGAAAATCGCTTTTTATCTTAAAAAAATGCGTTTCTAATTTTTTGACAATGACACGAAACTGCCCTTTATAATTGTGGTACGGTTCTGTCACCAATCTCTGCTAGCCTGCCCTCTCCTCTTCCTCAACAATCTCTGCTAGCCTGCCCTCTCCTCTTCCTCAACAATCTCTGCTAGCCTGCTCTCTCCTCTTCCTCAACAATCTCTTGCTAGCCTGCCCTCTCCTCTTCCTCAACAATCTCTGCTAGCCTGCCCTCTCCTCTTCCTCAACAATCTCTGCTAGCCTGCCCTCTCCTCTTCCTCAACAATCTCTGCTAGCCTGCCCTCTTCTCTTGCTCAACAACCTCTGCTGGCCTGCCTACCTTATCGCCTGCTCCGGCTCTTCTTGTGTGACCTCACAAAATTGAGCATCAGGAAGCCGTTGGCAGCTGTAGGTTGGGCCGCCTTAAATTTAAATAATTCAATTTAGAAACCGAATTATATGGCGAAGCGAGCTTGTAAGTTCGTAAAATAGATGTTTCACCTCCACAATCTGCTAGCGCCTCGTTCGGACCAGTAAAAGTCTCAACCATGGGCAGCCCAAAATCATCGACGCACCAGCAGGAACCTTTTTGGGAACATCTGAAGTTCATTAAAAATGTTTTTATTTTTTTATAGCGATTTCGTATCCCTCTAGGCTTAATGTGTGGAGCTCAAAAACATTATAACGACTTTTTAAAGGTGTCGGCAGGTCTTCTAATTATTATTAAAATAAATTTTTCTTGTAATGCTTTGTGTAAATGCTAACAAATTTAATTTGCACGAAAGAATGCGGACCATTGCTTTTTGTTTTTTCGTGTGAAACTCCTGATAACATGAAACATTTTTCGGAAAGGCAAAAAAATGGAAAAATGAAGCATTTATTTTAGAATCTAGCACTTAAGGGTTTTTTAGGATCCAACCTTACGAATATGGATAGCGGCAGTGTTTCTAAGCTGTTTTTTTACTATTCCGAAACGTATAAACTTTACAAAGGTTTCTTAAAAAATGTAAAAAACCTAGATGATTCTAAAATTCTAGAATTCTAAATTCTAAAAATTTCAGCGCGCGAAGCTCATGTCAATTTCATAAAATAAACTAGTTTAAACTGGGTTTTACGATAATACGAGTTATGATCCATGACTAATAACTTTTTCTAAAATTTTGCAGCGAAGGTGCGAAAAACATGAAACGCTTTTTTGGATTTTGGTAAAAAGAATGTTACGGACGTAACCTACCTTGCGGCATCATAGCTTTCATTTAAGGGTGCTGAGACACTTACTGTGTAGCCCTGTACGCGCCGTCGGGACGACAGGATGGCAAATAGTCGAGGTAAGCTCGATCAAGGGTTGAGTGAAATTCGCTGAGGATTACTTCGCGCAGAGACTGGCATGGGACTGAAAGTTATAGTTATCTCCCTCCCTCTCTCTCTCGCTCTCTCTCTCTCTCTCTCTCTCTCACCTGTCACCGGGACCACCGGATCCCGGCTACGCAAGGCTGTACAGTCCACGAGTTGGGAGAGCTGAAAATGGAAAAACTTTCATATAAAAATTAATTTCGTAAAAAATGCTAAATTTTATCTATAATGTATCGTTAACAACGCACACTTTCAGTTTTTATTCTACTAAACGCTAAAAACTTGCATCGTTAATAAGCGTATTCAGCTGGGCGTTTTGAGCGGAATCGCAGAGTACGGTAGCGGCACGCTGGACGCAATCTTTTAGCTGGCTGATGAGTGGGCAGAGCGGCTAAAAAAGGCGGGCTAGCAGAGATTGTTGAGGAAGAGGAGAGGGCAGGCTAGCAGAGATTGTTGAGGAAGAGGAGAGGGCAGGCTAGCAGAGATTGTTGAGGAAGAGGAGAGGGCAGGCTAGCAGAGATTGTTGAGGAAGAGGAGAGGGCCGGCTAGCAGAGATTGTTGAGGAAGAGGAGAGGGCAGGCTGGCAGGGATTGTTGAGGCAGTAAATCGCTACATTTTTCTCCGAATTCCGCTCGACTTTGCTGACGATACACGAATTGACAAGCTGCGATTGGGTGACGCGCAAAATACACTCTCGATTGCTGGCCCACAGTAGCGTTCCTGTGCCCTGAAAATGGTACTTTTAGGGTTATTTGCTTTACAGAACTAATCTTATTTAAATACATAGTTAATACAGATTTTGTTGCCAAAATCCAGTTAAAAATATGTTTCGTTATTTTGGATCAACCAAGCCGGAAAATTTAGTGAATTCGACCGCTGTTGCATATGGGTTTTTAGCACACATTTTTAGATTTCGAAAACTACAATCTAATAAATTTAAATTTAATTAAGCACCGAAACATGCGTTTTTCAGCCTTACCGAGCACGTAAAGTTGTTCAACGCCTTGACGGTGGGATGGAGATAGTCGGTGGATAGGGCGCTAAAAAGCTGGATAAAGCGAGATATAGAGAGCGCGCGAGAGAGAGCGAGAGAGAGAGAGAGAGCGAGAGAGATAGAGAGAGAGAGACAAAAAATTCAGCGCGCGAGCGATATATTTAACCTACCGCAAACAGTCCGGATTCGTAGTGGCGTGCCCCTCGGCACATTGTAGGTATCGCTGCGCGTTTGCGCAGAATTGGTCGTGTTGGCCGGGCTATAAAGAAGCAGAAAAAGCATGTTTCACTACTGTCTGAAAACAATTTACTTTAATTTTTTTAATTTACAGGCATTAAATCGGAAATTTTTTGTAGATTTTTGTAGACTAACAATTTAATAGGTTTTTTTGTTTTTAACTTCAGGTCAAAAATATCATATAAATACCTTCCCTGAATTATTTTAATTCGGTCCATTTGCTTGTAATTTATTTGGATGTTTCGATTTTTCGATGATTCCTTTGATTTTTTATGTTTTTGGGCCTGATAAAATTCGGAAAGCTAAGCTCGAAAGATAAACACAAAAAATAATATTTACTAAAAAATTCAAGTCCCGACCGTACCTGCCGTCCTCCAAACATCGAGCTCATATCCATCGGCATCATATGTTTCATCGTATCGTCAAGGATCGACTCGGAGCATCTGGAACATTATTTCCTTGTTTTGTTGTCTTGATATTTGTAATTTTATGTAATTTTTAGTTTAGTTTTTTTCCATAATTTCCTTACAATCATAATTCCTCAATCCTACCGTAATATTTGGACCCGAACGGTGGCCGGGCAGCCTGGCCCCTCCCCAATCGGCCCGATCCGCAGCATACGAGCGATGTTTTCCGGGATGATACGCTCGGCGCGGAGCTCCTCTTCAGTTATGGTAGCTACCGTAGCATCTGACTAAAAATAGATGTTTCTTATTTCTTTAGGAAGCTTTAAATTAAATTTTGTCCAATTATTCGCCAAAAGTAACGGTTTTCATTCGTTAGTTTTGACTACCGTAGTTTTTTGCTAAAAATGATTTTTTTTTATGTTTATGGTTCATAAATATATTTTGCTTAAAAAATCTACATTTGTCATTTTGAATAATTTTCATTAGATTTGTTTTTCACTCCCATAACTTTTGGGGAAAAATCCTACTATATATAAAAAAATAGTGTCTGTGTGTGTGTGTGTGTGCATTTGCATGCAACTTCCGTCCGTATGTTCCAGTCGTATCTCAATAAGGGAAGAAGTTAAGAGGGTGTATGATACGTCATTAGGTGCGTAATGCTCATGACACGACTGCACGCATATCAGCTTAGGCAAAAAGTGCTATTTTCGATATTAAAATTAAGTTTTTGTGAAAATCTCGGGAACCCACTTTGTTAGGAATCAATTAGCATACACCGGAAGTGGGGAGAGCCTATATAAAGGGTGAAGGGCGAGCGCTTTTCATTTTTTTTCGGGCCGGCAGCTCGAATTATGCAAAGTGTAGAATATCATGGGGAGCTACTCGGTTTGGAAAGGGCGGACCGTTGCGCGGGGGAAAGGGCGGGCCTGGAGATGTGCCTGCCCCCAGGCCCGCGCAATCTGGAAAGGGCGGGCCGTTGCGCGGCTCTCCGGATTGCGCGGGCCTGAGGGCGGCTCTCGCGGCAAACGGGCCGTAGCTAGGCTTTTCCCTCTTTAAAACGTTTAAATTACGTATTAAACCTGCTTTTTAGCAGGTTCTATTGCTCGGGACCGATGCAAGGAAGTGTGATGACTCTTTTGTATTTATATCACGACACTGCATTAGAAAATCACAATAGAACATAGAAAAAATATGGGTATTTCATCCTGCGAGTAGAGTTGCCCGGTGAAGATGTCCTAGAGTTCGCTTACAGGCATCTTCCTTAATTAGCTTGGGTTTGGTCTGGTATAAATTATATTTTATTTAATTATAAATTGGCTAAGTAGTAGATGCCAAGGCAGGATATATATTTGTCGATTTATAGACTAAATTTTAGACCTACTTTCGTGGTGACGGATAAAACTAGAACCCCTGAAAAGCATATTTTCTTATTGATGATTCGTCGAATAAGATTTTGACAAACTTACCCTCAGACGAATGACCTCCTGATAATGCAAAAGCACCCTACAATATTTCACGTACCTGTTTCTCGCGCCAGTCGGTCGGATGCCGCGCGGCGTTGCCAAATCTTTCAAATCTGCTTCTTTCCTCGCGGGCAGAACCCTGAATAACTACGTAACTAAGAATAGAAAAACATAAAACGACGAAAAAGACCTGCGAAAAATTACTCACCGGCGACTCCCTAGTAGATGCGGCGTTTGCCTCGAAATCGGCCTTCCCTAAACAAACAGGTCATTTCCAAGAACTAAATACCTCTGACTCGACGAGATCACTTGGCGTTTTCGGCATGTTGGCGCGTTTTCGTGCGGCGTAGCTAAAATAAGCTTTAATAATACAATATCGCTAACAGAACAAGGCAAACGCGACATTTTGATACCCTAAATTCCCACAACTATGGCAAGTTTGATCGTTAAGCCAAATAAAAGGAAAACAAACCAATATCCTGTCGATCCATCGCACGCCCGGGCCATAGAAGCATCGCTCATTCCTGAATTCACAAAGAAACTCGATAATTTCAAACAGCTTACCGCGCTTTTTGCTGTGTCACCGACCAGCGCCAGGCGGTCGAAATTTGTAGCTCGCCCTTGCCCAGGATCATCAATCCTAAAAGACCAATCCTAAACGCGGCAGCGTTTCCAGAAACACATGTTACGGAAGCAACAATAGATAAAAAACTAACCTGAAATGTGCATCGTGCTGCGGCCAAGGTAGATCGTTGCGGAAATGGCGCGGCGGGGCCCGTCTGCCGCTTGTGATCGCTTCTATTTCTAGAAACTAAAACAAAAGTACATTTACAACAATAAAAACCCACTTTTATCGGTCTTTTCAGCCCCATCCTAACTTCCATAAGGTTGTAGACCTGTAATGTATTTGGAAACTAACCTCGCAGCACATAGAAGTTGTTACGCTGATCCTACCAGATTGAAGAATCATCAAGTAGCATTATAATTAATCGCTATATGAAGTTAGACAAAAATGAAGTGAATTGCCTAAGTTTTAGTTCTTGTACTTTCATGAACTCTGGACGAAATGCGCGGCCCGCGCTTGCTCCGTCCGCGGCCGATTGCGCGGCTGAAAGGGCAGACCCGCGCAATTAGCCGCAGGCGGGCCGCGCATTGGCCGAGAGCCGCCCTCAGGCCCGCGCAATCCCGAGAGCCGCGCAACGGTCCGCCCTTTCCAAACCGAGTAGACGGGGCCAGGGGTGAAAAGCCGCGTAGCGGCTTTTCAACCCTGGTCTATGTTTTAAAATCCGAAGAATCGGAAAAATTTGTTCTTTTTCAACGTCGTTACAAAAACGATCCGTTATACTGTTTTGATGGTTACCTACCGTAACCCAGCCTTAAAAAAATTCGTTTGTCATTCCAAAACCGTAAAAAATTATATTGATTTAAAAAAATAGAAAATACGTTTAATATTTAGTTACCGTACTCAAATGACGCTAAAAATTATGTTTCAATTGAAAAATTTATTTAGAAATTTCGAAGGCTTCATTAATCGTCTTGCTATCGCTTGTTTTAAGTATGAAAAGACGCTAAAAATTATGTTTCAAATTCAAAAATATATTTAGATATTATACTTGTAATAATGTCTGTGTGGTAATAACGATACTAAATTTTTTCACTAACTAGGATTTTAAAGTCAGCATAGCCTGGCCATTAAAAAACGGTTTACTGTTATTTAAAAAAAGAAAAGTTATATTGAAATCAAGAATCAAATAAAAAAATATGCTATCTATTCACCTACCGTACTAAACAATTAGCAAAAAAATATTGTGTTTCAATTTAAAACAAAACTCAGAAATTTTCAAGCTTTAATTAATGGTGAAATGACAATTCATTCTAATTATATTTTTTTGCTATTTCGTATTTTAAAGCTACCGTACCCCGGCGTCATCGGCAGGTTGAAAGACGAAATTCCCTGAGGTTGAGGGCGCCGCGAGGAATTGCTGCATCGGCTCCGAGAGCTCCAGATCCGGGGTCACGGTCGGTGGGGGGAGGGTTGAAGCGGCTGGGCGGAGGCCGTCGTCGTCTCCAGCTGGATCTCCCAGCATTCCTAGTCCCTTTAAAATATAATTGATTAATATGTTTAAATCTATAATTAAAAAATCAAAATTTAATAATTAATAAATTAAGAGGATTAAATTACAACGTAATAACAACAATTCAACGATTCAATTTTGATATTTTGAGACTCATTTAAAGCTATGTCACCTCGATATTTTGAATATGTTGCAACTTGCAAGTCTCGAAAGCTTTCTAATAAGCGCCACATTTTTTTGCACAAAATGTTTCATTCTTTTCTTAATTCTTGGCAAAAATGCGGAAGCTATTTGGGATAAGTCCACTTCTATAAACAATTTAGAAAAATTTATTTTGGAAAAAATTTCTCCTTTAAGGCACATAATTAAATTAATTAAAAACATTATTTTACTAATTCTAACAGTTGCGCCCCCCCCCGCTTAGGCAGATCGGCAAAATTTCCCAAGCGACCTAGATGTTTCATTATTTCTACAGTATTCTCGAGAAGTGCATATATCAATAACTCCGTTTCTGGCAGAGCTAATGTTATTTTCAAATCTAAATAAAGATTAATAATGTAAAATAATTATTTAAAACAATGATGCCTATAAGAACAAAATAATTTAACTTGCCAGTACCTTTAAAAGTCTTCTAGCCAACCGCTGAATCGCCGCCTCATCCGATTTATTCTCAATTGGCACAATGCCAGGGCGTCGGGTGGGGAGCACGAGCTTTGGCGTGAAAATTGGCCACAAATAAAAGGGAGTGCTGGACGGGGGCGGGGCTACAGTACTCCACATCGCCGCGGGACCCCGGGCGGGGGGTACGGTGATTGGGAAAATTCCTGTCGAAGAGCCGGCTGGGTGGGTTACGGCAGAAATTTCCGTATTTTCTGGATTTCCAGAAGCTACCGTAATCGAAATCGTGGCGGGACCCGGGGGCTGAGTTACGGTAGTTTCGAATATTTCGTGATTTTCTTGAATTTCGGAGGGTACTGTGGCTGCGGTCTCAGGGGTTACGGTAGTTTTTAAGCCCTTGAATCCTTGATTTTTTGGGATTTCGACCGTATCCAAAACTGCAGGGATTACGGTAGTTTTTGGGCCGTCGAATTCTTGATTCTTTGGATTTTCTACAGCATTCAAAACCACAGGGATAACAGTATTTTTGTTGGCTCCAAGATCCGCATTTTTTGCATTTTCTACCGTAGTCGGTGACGCAGAGCTTACGGTAGTCTTCCGAGCGTAAAATCCACTTTTTTCGCCTCCTACCGTACCCTCCGGTTCACCGTAATCCGGATACTTTTGGTGCTTCAAAAATTCGGACCCATTTTCCGGGATCACCCCCGATAAATCGACCGTACTTTGTATGGTAGCGGAATCCTCTGGCGCAGGGGGGTACTGTAGTGGAGTCGATTACGGTGGGGGCCGAGTCGTGAAAATCTATTTTTCCGACGCGCTCCGTCTCGCGGGATACGGTACCCCGCGGCGGACCAAATAGCCAGTTATCAATTTTCGGGCCGAAATCTACCGTATCCCCCTGGCCGTCCACAGTACCCTCGTGTAGGCCTACGGTAGGCCAGGGGTAGTGCTTCGGAATTTCGAAATTACGGCCTTTTTCTGGGGTATTCCAGGCGTATCGTTCCGGAATTTCGGCTTGGTGATTCAAGAATTCCGATTTTTTGCCCTTTTCTAACGTATTCCAAGGGTATTGCTTCGGAATTTGGAAATTATCGCCTTTTTCTACCGTACCCAAAAATCCTTGCTTGGGTACCGTAATCCGGGAGTAGCGTTCCGGAATACCGGCTTCATTGTCTTCAAAATCAGCTTTTTTGCCTTTTTCTACCGAACCCCAGGCGTAGCGTTCCGGAATACCGGCTTCATGTTCTCCAAAATCCACTTTTTTCTCCTTTACTACAGTACCCAAAAATCCTCGCTGGGGTACGGTAGCTTCCGTGGCCCACGTTAAACTGCCCGGGTAGCGTTGCGGAATCCCCGCTTCATGGTCTTCAACTCCCAATCTATCGCCTTTTTCTACAGTGCCCCAGGGTGGATTACTGTAATACCGCAACCCTTCCTCGCGGGGTACTGTATTTCCGCTTCCCCACCTCCAATTTGGGCCCTCCACGTCGCGCAACGCCTTTTTTAGCCATTCCGGCTGGGATACGGTAGCTATCGTAGGGTCCCACCACGGCCGGGTTACGGTAGGCTTCGTCGTGCCGAAACTCATCAATAGTTCGTTATTTTTAGGGGCAAAATCAGGGAATATGGTAGGCTTATAGCCGAGGTCTCCACCGTACTCCTTAGCGTCATCTGGTGTAGCGTGTAGCCGCTCGGAATTAGGTGTAGCTTGTAACCGCTCGGAATTTGCTGTAGCGTGTAGCCGCGTGTCAACTGGTGTAGGTTGTGGCCTTTCGGAATTAGGTGTAACTTGTAGCGGCCCGTCATTTGGTGTAGCTCGTAGTGAACTGTCATCTGGTGTAGGTTGTAGCCGCTCGGAATTAGGTGTCACTTGTAGCGCACCGTCATTTGGTGCACTTCGTAGCCCTTCGGAATTTTGGTCTTCTTCCCTCCCGTCATTAGGTGTAGCGAGCAGCGGCCGGGAATTTATTCGAATTTCCGGGAATTCGATGGGCAATATTTTCTCCGGATTCAAATTAGATTTTTCAGGGCTCGAATCCAATTTTTCCGTGTTTAATTTAAATTTTTCCTGATTTAAATTAGCTTTTTCTTCATTTGCGGGGGGAATTATCCCCAAATCCTGCCCAATCGAAAATGTCGATGTTCCAGAAAAATTCGGAATCGCCTTAATCGATTTATCGCCGAATTTCTTCGAATTTTTGGTATCGATAAAAATCTTGGCGTTTTCGTTTTTCCGGTTGGCACCCTCGAAATACATCCACGGCTCGACGTTTGGCGTTTTTAGTTGCCGCTGCTCGCTACCGTAGTACCCGGCGAATTGATTTTTTTGGGTTTTTGTGAAATTTTGGATTAGAATCCGGTTGATGAAGCGATTTTCGGGTTTTGGAGCGTCGTGGAATTTGGTATTTGGGGGTACGGTATTTTCGGGATTTTCCGTTTCATTCCACCTTCCAGTTACCGTATCCAATTTCTCTGGGAAAAGGGTAACTTCGGAATTTTGTTCCGTTTCTTTCCAATTTACGTCGCTGTTTACGGTAGCTACCGTATCTAATTTCTCCGGGATTACGATAACGGCCTCGCCCGTTACAGTACGCTCTCCATTCTTGCGTAGCATAGCGGAATCAACAATTTTCCGTGTGGTACCCTCGATGTCGATAGGAAACTCTGGAACGAGCTCGAGCTCCCCAACGGCTTCCGGTCGAACTACGGTACCCATCCTCGAGGTTACGGTAGCCAGGGCTTGAGCATTTTTTATGGAACTTTCCAGAGTTTTATTCTCGAAATTCGCTGAATTTTCAAGGCGAGTTACGGCAGCTCCAGAATTATTATTCCGATTATCTGGGTTTTCCGGAAATTTGGAAAACTTCAAAACTTTTTTCGGAAAAATCTGTTTCTTCATTTTCTTGAGTGGAAGCGAAATTTTTCCTAGTAATTCCTAAACTGTCGTTGCTGGATTGATCACGTGATTCCGTTCCACCGGAATTATTGGTAATCCGGTTTTCTGGGCTTTCCGGAAATTTGGAAAATTGGAGAATT